TGTCCCTGTAGTATGCTGTTTTTAAGTCCTTTGTGTATAGTCTGAGGAGAGAAATAGCTGGGTCAAATGGTGGTTCCATTCCCAGATTTCCAAGGAAATACTGCTTTGCAAATTGGCTGCACCAATTTGCAGTCCCACAAGCAATGTCTAAGTGTACCTTTTTCCCCACATCCTCCCCAACACTTGTTATTTGTCTTCATAATAGCTGCCATTCTGACTGGAGTAAGATGATATCTTAGAGTAGTTTTGATTTGCATTTCTCTGATTGCTAGAGATGATGAGCATTTTTTCATGTTTTTGTTGATTGATTGTATATCCTCTTCTGAGAAATATCTGTTCAGGTCCTTGGCCCATTTCTTGACTGGGTTATTTGTTTTGTTTAAATAACTGTTCTAATTGTGTTGCTTTTGTTGCCCAGTGCATTGGTCATACATGGTCTTATGCATTTCACATAAATTTTACAAATAACATGATATATTTAATTGAATAATGGCATTTAGATTTAGTTGGATTTTACCTAAACATCAATATAGAGCTAATGACTCTATATTGTATAGATATAGATATATCTCTTAATTTTTCTCAGATTTTACATAATTTTTACTAGATATACTTTTGATGTGTTATGGTTTTGATGATTTTTTATGTGTTTCTTTTAGTGAAATGTTCAAGGAATTAATTCTATTAGTGTTTTAGTTGGCTTTTTTGCTGCTGTGACAATGGGCCTGATAAGAATAATTTTAGGAGAAAAAGTTTATTTTGAAGCTCAATATTTCAGAGTTCTCTGTCTATAGATAGCCTATTCCATTTTTTGGGTTGGACATAAGGCAGAATATCATAGTAGAAGAATGAAGCAGGGGAAAGGAGGTCAGCAGATGGCCACCAGGAAGCAGAAATATCAAGAACTCTTCTCAACAAAGACAAAACATAAACCCCAAAGGTATGCCCCCAGGGTGAATCTCATCCAGCCACAACCTACATGCTTACACTTACCACCCAGTTACTCTTATCAGAGGATTAATGTACCGATTGGATTAAGGTTCTCATAATCCAATCATTGCACTTCTAAACTTTCCTGCATTGTCTGACACATGAGCTTTTGGGGAACACTCAATATCTCAACCATAACAATTCATTTTCATCTTCACTTTTTTGTGGCTTTGTTCTTTTTTCTCTTTATTTTATTTTATTTTATTTTGGTAATTTTAGAATTCTTACTAAGCTTCAAAGATAGTATAAAATTCCCTGCTAACCTTAACCCAGATTCCCCAATGCTATTATTTTTGTATATTCTCCCCTCATTCTGCCACATTTATCTCTGAATATATAAAATATTTCTGAATAACTAGTAACTAGTTAAGAGTAGGTGGATAGAGTTATATATCCCTTTACTTTTAAAATATTAACAAGAATATTTACATAACCATAGTGTCATTGCCAAATTTCATAAACTAACCTGATGGCTTCCACATATGATGGAGAACATTTGGTACTTGTCTTTCTATATATGAGTTATTTAACTTCTATCCATTTTTATGCAAATAGCTGGACTCCATTATTCTTTATGGCTGTACTTTTTACCCATTTTCTTTATGAATTTCTTTGACAATGGGCACTGATTCCATAATGTAGCTATTGTGAATAGTGCCACAGTACACATGGGAACATAGGATTGCTGTTTCTCAGTAAATGTAATTGTTCTAGATTCTATTGTTTTGTAATCCATCCCCCATTCCCATAAAAATATAACAACACAAATTTTAAAAATCCATTTTATTTTGCCCATGATTTCCAGATTCATAAATTTGGAAAGGGCTATTGGCAGTTGCCTCTTGGAGTCTCTGATGATGTTGCACTTGGATCTCATCTTGCAGCTGAGGTCACTTGTAAAGAAAACAAAAGGAGGCAGAAGTAAGGTGAAGAGGCAGAATGGCAGAATAGCAGGATGGCAGAATGGCATAAAGGCAGAAAACCTTTGTCCAAGCTGCCAGCCTTATGGATATCAATAGGTTATTAGGTCACTGGCAACAGTAATACATTATTGTTCATTGTGTCATTAGGCAGTTTACAGAGTTAGCAACATTATGCAGCTTATTTCTCAGTTACATCCTATAGTTGCAATATGCAAGGAGATTTGTGTAGCTCTTAAGAAAGTCCATTGTTTAAAGTTAGTGTTATGTGGACCGGGTCAGGTTCATCGGAGCTTGGTGAAATTTTGTGATTGTCTAACAAGAGAGTTCCTTTATTCACAGGAGCTGAGTGCCTGAGATCAAGGTCAAGGCTGATAAGACTCTAGCACAGAGCCTCCTCATGCAGAGCATTGCCACAGCAGCTAGGCATTGCACATATATTAGTTATCTTACTAGTTCTTGGAGGAAACTGCAGAATATTCCAAGTGTGAAAAACACAATGCCTGTCACCACCCTCTCCCCCAGGAGTTTGCTCATCAGAGGAATACTGTCCTCTACATTTCCACAGCCAGAATCCTTAGAGTCATTGAAGACTTGATCAACCTGGAAATCCAGGATAGTTCATTCACATGGCTGATAACTTGAAGTTCAGCTGGGGCTGCTGACAGAACTACCTGCAAATGCTTTCTCCTATATGATAGTCTACAGAGTAGATTTCCCATAAAGTAAACATCCTACTAAGCCAAAATGAGGAGGCATGACTTTCTAAGCTAATTCTGAAGTCAAGCCATGCTAGATTTACCACATTCTATTGCTTATGGGCAACTCACTATAGCCAGCTCTGATTCAACAGAGGAAAAATGCACTGCCCAGGTCAGTGGATAGAGTGTCACAGATTTGGGGGGGGGGTATTTTTATAAACTACAGGTGGGTTAAATGTCTCATATTGTGTATTTTCTAATTTATAATTTTGCACCATCAATTATGGCCTTAATGCCTAAAACTTGTAAAGTATATAGGAATGTTAGGTTCTCTCACCATGTCTGTTGATTTCATATTATATTTCCTACAGTTTTGTCCTTCTGTTCTTCACTCTGTATTTTCCCATATTCTTCAACTTACTATTTCTTTTTTTGTGCAAACCTACAGTGTTGTTAGACTCATATTCTGTTTTTTTTTTATTTTTAGCTACTGACTTTTTATTGATTCTTTTTAGTTATACATGACTCACAAATATTTATTGGATTTTTTAACATTTCTACCAAAACACATATCATATAATTAAATTTAAAAAATTTAATCATGATCTTTGGAATTACCTATAATTACCTATTGGTAATTACTACCAATCTGTGAAAATCTTTCTTTTTTTCTCTTTGTCTCCTTTGTTTTCTACATGATCTCTTTTATAAGTGTGGGGCTTATTTTTTGACTGACATTGTATATGAAAAAACATCCATCCTACAAAAACTTCAGAAAGGATTTTGTTTTGCTTCTTCAATACACTTTATTTAGGGTATATCACCTTACACAAAAAAAGTGAAGTGGCTAGAAACTGGGCATCATCTCCATGATGAAAATTCTTTTCATTTAGAAAATTTGATACAAGTTTCCTGATTGGTTAACATGATTCCTCCCCTTTGGTCCAACCTAAATTTTACTTGTGTTCTCCTAGGGATATCTGGAAAACATGCTAAGATTTTCATAGTCTAATATATTACCTTTGAAATGTCAAGTGTCTCCAGAGGAAAATAGCTGATGCTAGTTTTCACTTTTCTCTGAACTTGACTTCTAGGTCTTGCTTTCCTGGGAGCTGTGCAACACTCTCAAATACCACTGATATATTCACACTTTACTAAAGTCATTCCTAGGACTTTGTTTAAGAAAGAAGAGTATGTCAGAAGCATAAGCAGAAATCTCTGTTAGAATATCAGCTCTGAATATAGGAAAATATTAATCCTGTGTTACAGCTTTCAGATGCCATCACTAGATTATTGTCTAGTTTAATTCAGTTACCTGGTCTCTAACCCCTTTGATAGGAAACCAGGCCCAGATGCTGCCCCAGTGCAATGACTCCTGGTCTAACACAGCAGGCTCTGCACCCTCAGAGGACCATACTGCCAACTGTTCAGGTAAGCAAGGCTCCCAGCACAAGAGCCTTCCCATTCCCTGTGGAAATGCCCACTAACATGACCCTGTCTCTTCTCAGACAGCAGACAGCTCCGCCTGGTGGATGGGGGCAGTCGCTGTGCAGGGAGAGTGAAGATCCTGCAGCAGGGATCCTGGGGATCCATCTGTGATGACAGCTGGGACCTGAGTGATGCCCATGTGGTGTGCAGACAGCTGGGCTGTGGAGTGGCCCTGGAGGCCACCATCTCTGCTCACTTTGGAGAGGGATCAGGGCCCATCTGGCTGGATGAGCTGAACTGCACAGGAGAGGAGGCCTATGTGTGGCAGTGCTCTTCCCAGGGCTGGGGACAGCACAACTGCAGTCACAAAGAGGATGTGGGGGTCATCTGCTCAGGTCTGCTCTTCACACTGTGCACAGGTCGGGGAGGGAAGGGTGGGGTTTGCAGGATGGTATCTGAGCCACAGCACAGGGGTTGGGAAAGGGCAGAGGGGAAGGATAGTTTCTGTCTTTCCAGTAGAGATGAGGTACTTCCATTTCCTCCTGCAGGAGCTGAG